CGGTCTTCATCAGTTGCAACAAAGTCGAAGTACACATTGCCCTAGATATCCTGTTGATTTTAGTCTCTTCTTCATCTGTTAATAAATTATTTAGTATTCACTGCGAGATTACACAGCAGTTCAGAAGTACGTTTTGTTCTTAATGATATTTTTCCATAATCTTATTACTTTGCTTAGTTTCTGGTAGACATTTCCCCCATTGCTATGATACTTCGTATTTCTGTAACACATTTTTTGTCGGTTATTATTGCATTATTCAGATAGTTAAAGTTTTTTTTTTACCTTTTACTATAATCAGCAATGTAAATAAATTTAAAAAAATATGTGTAACTATTTCCTAGTTGACAGATGGACAGTGAAGTCGAACCAGTACATAGAACGTTTTCGATACTGGTTGTACATACAACGAGTACATATGAAGTTTTAGACCGGCATGAAGTAGAAAGATTATATTGAATCAATTGCCAGGTGTGCCGTTAGGAACATTGGCTCAATGTGTCCTGCTCGTCAATTTTTTTCGACAAAATTTATCTTACACATTTATAAGTCGACCATTCGTCCATGTATTAAATATTTCTGCTATATTTGGTTTGGTGCTTCTGCTATGCATTTAGAAATTTTTAATAAAATCCAAAGAAGAATCTGCAATGTCATTGGTCTTGACCTGACATCTCGGCTTCTATCACTTTCCCACCGCCAGAACGTAACTTCCCTGTGCCTTTTCTATAAATATTTTCATGTTAATTCTTTTAAATGAACCGTTCTCTATGGTACCTAGTCTTTATGAATTTAGGCGCAGTACTAGACTGGCGGCAAGGTCTCACCATTTTACAGTTGAAATGGCTAGATGTAACCGTAAGTTCTATGCTAACAGTTTCTTCTCTCACACTCCTCGCTTGTAGAACTCTCTTCTCGCTTCTTGCTTTCCAGTCTACTTTAATCTTTAAAAGTTTACATTGTGAATCGTTATCTTCTGTCTTAATTCCTGTTCTTCTATTGTTCTCTGTCCTTAATAATGCTTTTTTTTCTCATATTCTCTCACACTGAGTAACCCCCTTGCGTCTTAGTAACATTATTGCGAAAAAAAAGAAGAAATTTATAATATCTAAACGAGGTTAAAAATCACGTACGATGATTGATCAAATATGTTCGTATCATGAAGCGCAACATGACATTTTCACGGTATAATGTTCAGTCTATTTAATATTTCAAAGATGATCCCGTCCTCTCTCATGTTACTTACTTTTAAATTGCATTGCATTCACATTGATTGCGTTTTATTAGTTTTGTCTCATTGATTACCAGTACAACCGTTTTCGTCAAGACAAGCGACGTTTGTACAAATACTTGTTTATATATATATATATATATATATATATATATATATATATATACACTTTGTAAATATATTATATATATATATATATATATATATATTACATGAATCATTCATACAAAAATCAGATACAGAAGTTAATGATTTAAATGGCGAGAATACATCTTCGCAAACAAATTTAATAAAGTACATTAACCCCGAACAAGTAGATGAATGTTATGATCCCTGTTTAAATTTGTTTGCGAAGATCTATTCTCGCAATTTAAATCATTAACTTCTATATCTGTTTTTGTGTGAATGATTCATGTAAGGTAAATTGAACTGCACCATATACTTATATATATATATATATATATATATATATATATATATATATATATATAATGTGAAAAGTGTGTGTATATAAAAATAAATATATATATATATATATAATTATTTATATATTATATGCGCGGTACTTATTAGAAAGCGCTCAATATCAGAGATAGAGCTAACATATTTGTTGATAGATGTGAGTTTTTGACTGTGGGTTTCACGCTTTAGCGTTCGTCAGAAAAGCGTGAAACCCAGGGTCACAAACTCACATCTATCCAACTAAATAAATATATATATATATATATATATATATATATATATATATATATATATATATTGGTTTACTGTGTCGTGCGAGGCAGTTTTTCTTTCTGGTATCAATTATACATATCTATGTCTACCATTCATCCATGCTTAGAATATTGCTGCTACATACAGTTCCGTGATCTTGCTATTTACCTTGAGCTCCTTGATAAAATCCAAAGAAAGTCCTGATCTGGAATTCTTCGACAAATGTTTCTATATTTGAAACATATTGGAACCGCTTACAAGAAAAAAAAAACCTTTTTGAAAGATCGAAAAAGTGATAGTCGGAAAGATGGCAGATCTGAAGAATTCACCTCAAATGGAAGAAATTCCTATACCATTTGGATGATTAGTTGATATATCGCACTGGCAATCAATTAATTGGCAACTTTCGTTTCCTGTCTTGTTTGTTCAAACCAATTGTTTATTCTGTCATTATGTGGCACCAGTTGCTCACACTTTCAGTAATTCATAACAAACAATTTACTTTAAATCGCAGCAAATACAGAAATTTGTTTTTTTACCTAATAGGTTCCCCCTGGGTTGGGATATTGAAGGCTCCCTTTGGATCTAGACACGAGTTTCCTCATTTTGAATTCTCATAATAAATCCATTCTACACATCGCCAGTATTTCAGTCAGTCAGTTATGTGCCATGCGTGATACACGCTTAGGCGATCTTTCGATACATGACTGACGAGGCAGATTTTTCCCGCAGTAGGTTGTCATTTCTTTCTGTGGTAGAACCCGGTCTGTCCTGCTATTTACCCATAGCTAGGGGGGGAGAAGAGGATTCTTGATTATGTCATTATTTTCTCTTCGAATTACGTGTGCTATCCACTTCAGTTGTTGCTGCTCTTTAAAGTTTTCAAGTGATGTGTTTTCTCTAATTTGCAATAGTTTTTGCTTGTGATTCTGTAGCGCCATTCTCAAAGGTATTAACACGTAATTGAATGTAATGGATTCGATTGGAATTCGAATTCGGCTCTCGGATCCCTCAATCCGAGCCGTTATCCAGGACTCCACCGTGCCTCTTCTCCTCCGTGCCGCCAGTATATACATTGTCCAAAAATGACCTTTTCTTTATCAATCAAAAAAAAAAAAAAAAAAAAAAAAAAAGTATAATGACAAATGTTTGGGAAGTTCATTTTTTTCTAAGGCAGGAAACTGACCACTAAAATACTACATTTGACTGATTATAATAATAGTAATGGTAAGCAACGTTGAACCTGATCAGTACTTAGATGGGTGCCCACTTGGGAAGAATACCAGGTGCTGTAAGTTTGGATGTGCGGAAGGTATCATGGATAACGGTTCGGGATGACAAATCTGAGAGCCGAGTTCGAATTCCTGTCGAGTTACTTTCACCTTGAGAAAAACATGAATCCATCTTTTCTCCACAAGTTATGGCTAAAATAAGACAGACTGGATCTAATGGCCTTGGTAACCAATCTACCTTCAGAAAATAATGGCAGCCTGCCGCTGGAGTTTTTCTGTCAAGTCAATCATGAATCGAATAGTGAGATGTTCGCCTGAGCGTGTAATATTAGGCATTTCCTTATAAGGAAACATTTACTATTCATTAACCGAGTAACTCTTGCCACTGTCGGTTGTAATTTATAAAATCCTCCTGTTAAAACAATTTTCGATGAAAACAGGGTCCTCTAGTTATTATTATTTCTATTATTGATGGGGACTTTCAGCTTAAAATTTTCTTTGAAGTGGTGTGAAATGTTAACATCTTGATTATGTCATTATTTTCTCTTCGAATTACGTGTGCTATCCACTTCAGTTGTTGCTGCTCTTTAAAGTCTTCAAGTGATGTGTTTTCTCTAATTTGCCATAGTTTTTGCTTGTGATTCTGTGGGCGCAAGCCTTCAAGATTCGAAAACGGATGGTCTTCGTTAAGACATACAGGTTCATTTGCTCAAAGCCATCCTTAATCATTAATCTGAGAAAGCCGGTGTACACAGCTAACAGTTTAAATATTTCGAAACATTTTCAGCGCCATGCATGACATCTATGTGAAAATCTAGATCTAACGGGGTTATTTAAGAAGATGACTCGTGTTCTTAGGTTAATGTTTTGGTTTTGTAGCAAGTGGCGGTGTTGCGCGAAACTACGTCTAGCACAGCCAATTCTATGTTCAATTTCCTTATCTGCTGTACTAAATTTTTTATTAAATGTTAACTGATCCATGCATCGGGGTATCTGAAGTGTTTAGTATTTAATAATTTCACAGACTGAATTTTTATGACGTCACTGCTTTCATTCTAATTCCAGATCATAGTTTCTGTTTTAAAAAAGTTTTATCTTGATTTCTATTTTTTAGAACACTTGGTAGACGATGTTGATTTAATCAATGAAAAACAGAATAAACATCAAAGACACTTCTAAGATTTTCCTAACATTGTTCAAAAGATTACAATATATTTATACCAATCTAGTCGGTTCCTAGGAAGATCGAACTAAATATTAATGAGCTGTGAGATTAATCTTTTGGTCAATTATTTATGACAGTATACTGAGAACGAGACCTTGTCGCTGTTTTGGATAATGTATTTAAAAATAAATAAAAAAGTTTTTGCCTTTACAGATTAATAAGTATGTTTGAGTTAGCGCTGTGTAAAGAACCTTTGATTTCTTGATATAAATTAGTATACTCCATTCACCGAACTATGCCCGCAAGGAAATCTGATTGCTATCAGGCAGTAATTGGTCTCCTCGATAACAATCGATGTCACGCAGTCGTCAACATGCCGACTGGTATGTCCAAGGACAAAGCCTAATTACAATTATCAGGCCGGAACGAAGTGGGTAAAAATGTTAACTTCGGGCTGTGGCCAAGTCATAATTAACATCTTCAGTCAAAAGTGCTGGCTTTGTCATATTCAGCCTTTTGCATACCCAGTGGTAGACACACGAAAATACGCGAATTATATACCGGAGAGTTTGACATTATTGTGATGTATTTCCGATTGCAAAGGGTGTTTGGAAAGATTGGAGCCCAAACATTCTTAAAGACATGACAGTATGAAAAGAATATGTTTATTTTTCAACAAAGGTTTCTTCTACAGGCCGTCCTGACGGCGGCTCGTCTCTTCCGACGATGCTTACAAGTTCAACGACTGGTCCTTACGTATTTATGACAAACTTTATGATGATTCTACATACGATTTCCTGCGGCGCGATCTATTCACGATATTTTAATAGCTCTTTAATATTTTCAATTCTTCAATTTTTGTTTCTAAAGTGGAAGTTACAAGAAAATATCGAGATCAATGCAAATGTCCAAATTTTGTGAAGACAAAACATATATAAGGAATATATCATAAGTATTACCCCATACGATCATAGAAGTTAAGCAACGTCGAACCTGGGTAGTATCTACATGGATGACCGCTTGGGAAGAGAAGTTGCTGTAAGCTTGGGTGTGCGAGGGTGTAATAGATAATGGTTCGAATTGTTAATCGGATAGCCGAGTTCCAATTCCACTTTGGATTTGTTACATTCACTTATGTGCAAATACCCTTGCGAAAGGCATGAATCTACTTCTCCTTAATTAGAAAACCATGTATCATTGATGCACGGTTGAGTAATGAATAGCGGCTCGGATTGAAGAATCGGAGAGCCGAGTTCGAATTCCAGTAGAATCCATTGTATTCACTTACGTACTAATACCCTTAGGAAAGGTATGAATCCTATTTTCTCCCCCACAATCTATGGGTAAATAGCGGGACAAACCGGATTCTATAGCCTTGGATAGCAACTGGTCTACCGCAAAAGGGAATGGCAACCTACTGCGGGAAAAAATCTGCCTCGATAATAATAGTAATAATAATTGATACATTAAAAAAAATGTAAGTCGTGTTCCAAAGATTTTAAGTTCAATATTCTTAATGATATGACACCAGGAAAATAATATTTTTATCTTGTTTTTATTTGTCGACAAATACTGGTATTTTTCAACAAAGATTTCTGTCACCTCAAGGGATCAACCATTTCTTCTACGTTAAGCAGCCCAATTCTTCACCATTGTATACGAATGGTAGTCGTTATAGAAGACATTTTTTTAACCGATCACAGATTTCATTGATTTTACACTTTCAAAACTCAATAACAGCCAGAGTCTTTCTTATTCCGATGTGCATCAGTCATCGAAAATTGTTTCAATAATTTATAGTTTCTGAAAAGTTTTTTTTTTTTTTTGCTTCAATAGTTTTTTTTTTTATTGCTGCTGAAATAAAAATGACAAGAAAGTATTAAGAGAAATGTTCTATGAAAACCAAATATTAGTTTGAGTCTTAAGAAATTTCCGTTTTGGGGAACCAGTTGTAATGACGAGTCTATCATCTTTGCTAACCATTCTTATCTAAAGAATGGTTAGCTAGGATGATAGGCTTATGATATCATAACAGACGATGAAATATGGGCTACAACGCAAAAACAATGGACTGATAAAGAAAATATCTGGTGGGATCATCGGGATATTTTTCATTTAGAGTCCTTAAAATGCAAAACTAAATGCACATTTATATGTCCAGCAGCTGAAACCTGTCCATAAGTATTTGGTCGAAAATAGTTATTCTCTTTTGGCAAATCAAGGCCTCATACAGTAAGAATAACACAAGAAAAGTTTGAAATTCGGGGAGTCTTTTCTACCCAATCAGCCATTATTCACCTGACTTTGCAGCAACCGATTATTACTTTTTTTTTTAGATCACTGGTGGAGAAAGTTTTCTTTAATGAAAATGAGATTAAAGAGTTCGTTGAAAACCTTTTCACGTCAAAACATACGCAATCCAAGAACTTGATAAGTGGCAACAGGTAATTACAAATGATGAGATGATGAATATATAACCGAATAAAGCGCATTCGTACTTTAAGTTTTGAAGAATGTAGTTCATAAGGAAAGACGGAAATTATTTATGACTCTGCCTAATATATAAAAATTGAAACGACGAAGTTTTAGAGAAAATAGAAACGAAAAGGAAACTTTTAATTAACACCAGGAAGAGACAGTTGAAATTCTTAGGGCACATAATGAGGAAAGAAGTCTTGGAAAATCTAATACTCACAGTACGGATTGAAGGCAAGAGAAACAGAAGAAAACAACACATTACATACTTAGTGAGCTTGAGTATGGCGGAACAGGATTTAGGAGAAATAACAGAAAGACAAAATTTATTAAAAGTCACAAGGGAAGTTGTGGAGAGCTATGATCACCAACTTCTTGAGGAGACATGGCACATAAAGTAGGCATTGATATAGAACAATAATTTGGAATCATTGTAAAAAGGGTTAAATTCACGCTGGAAATTTTGTAACTTTTCTCTTATAAAATGGTGCTGTAAACAAAAACAAATTTTCCCGCCCCTCAGCACAAAGCTCCGAAGAATTAATTAAATTTCATAAAGAAAAACTTGAACTGTTTGAAATCTTAACTGATCCGATTAATTTATATCCCATTCATCTTTATTATAAATGATTTCGGCACGAATTAAGAAAAGGTTTGAAGTCTCGGTCATTAAGTACGATGCATTCTTTCAATATTTTCATATGAGGACTGATATTGATTCTCACAAATATACGAATCGACTGGGCAACGAAACATAAGACACTGTTAAAGGCTTAAAATGGTTTAGTGTTAGCACAAGGTAATCACTTATTCTATGTGCAATGTGCCTTCAAGACGTGGGCGATTATAGCTCTCCACACCTTCCTATCCATCGTGACCCAGTATTTCTCCCTTTGCCAAGCGCTCCCTCCTCGTTCTGCCATCTATTCAAGCAAGTTCATCAAGTACGTGGCCTGTTGCCTTCCCTTATCTCTCTTGCCCTCGGTATGCCCTATGAGCGTTAAGTTTTCCAAGCCTTCCTTCCTCATCATGTGTCCAAGAGATTTCAGCTGTATCTCTGATACTGGGCATAAGCGTTCTTTTTGTTACAATTTCCTTTAAGATTTACTCCTTGCTTACTTACTCCGTTCATAGAATTCTTAGTTTCCTTCTGTAGAACCAGCACAGTTCTGTTGACACTAGTTTCCTCTTCATCTGTAATGAGATTGTCCAGAATACACTGTCCTGCCAGAAGATTGATATCACATAGCAGTTCATTGCTGTTTTCTTTGTTTGAAATTTCCTGTATCTTAGTACTTTCTTAGCTTTTGGGAGGCATCTTTCGCTAATCCAAAGCGCGTTCGGATTTCGGTGTCGCATTTTCCATCCTCTGCTAAGACACTTCCTAAATATTTAACCTTCTGTACTTGTTAGATGCTGACATCTGCAAATCGTAGTTCACATCTTGAGATTTTATTCTTTTTGTTTTCTTGCAGATGGTGGCTAATCCTTTTTTTTTCTAGCTTTTCTTTACTTCCTTGTTTAGGAGAACATGTATTTTTCTTTCTGTGTCTACCATCAACAGAGTATAATTTGCATATATAATATTGTCAAAACTGCGCCCCCCTCTGATACTAAGTCTTGCTAGGGTCTCCAGCTCCCTTAGAATAGCCTGGCTGTAGACGTTGAACAGATATGGAGAGAAGACACACCCTTGTCTTACACGCCTTTCTGTTTTTGTGTACCTACTCAATACGTTTTCTATCCGTGCTTCTTTTCTGCCATGGCCGTCAATATGTCCTGTGAGTGTCGAATTCTCAAAGCCCTTTCTATCTGACAATATTTCTCGTCAGGTTGCTTTATCTAAAATTTTGTTTGTTTGTTTCTTTCTTTCTTTCTTTTATGGTCATCTGTATTTCTTTCTCTTTTTTATCTATCTATCTATCTATCTATCTATCTATCTTACTGATACACAAACTTCTCCCCTCAAAACTATCAATCGATACATCAGTGAACTTATAAAACGCGTGATGTCGGTCTCTTTTGTCTTGGATGATATGTTCTCATCTACCTATCTAGCTAGCGAGATACATAAGAACACTATCTATCTATCTATCTATCTATCTATCTATCTATCTATCTATCTTAGTCTGTTCATTATGTTACCTAGCTAGCTAGCTATCAATCTTATTAGCTGTTGATTTAAGATATTAGAACGTCGTATACAAGTCGTAAATTTTAAAAGATACATAATATCACGCGTTTGCATTGGATTCTAGGCGAAATCACAAATGGAAACTGATGATTTATCTTAATAAAAATGCCAGCCGTGTACGAATGTCACTAAAGCGATGTCTTCAAGATAATTGTCTATAAAAATAAATAAATAAACGCTTTCTCCTATGTAATACTTTTCTGGCATTTACTTGTAAATTCTTCATCCTTCGAAGATTTGCCCGAAGATCGCTAATTAGGTCTAATGTAGATTCTATGTGCGAGAAACAATATATGCGACCCATGAAGGATGCAAAAGATAAAGTGTGTTTATATACTTATTTATTGGTAAGCAATTTTAGATAAAAGGGATACACCTGAAGATGTCGATAAATAAACCGAGAGACTGATAGACACGTTTAAATAAAATAAAAATAAAAATGGGGGAAAAAGCGTGAAGAATGTGCTACTCTGAGTTTGGTGGTGCCCCTGACTGTGTTATGGTCGAATAAGTCGGGCAAAGAGAAGATTTCAAACACTGAACTTCCCCGCAAGTAATCTCCTGTAGGAAATAAAAATATCTTAGATCAGACACCAGGTTCGTTCTCAGGGCCCAGCTTCTTCCAAAGTCAAAATGACTGTGGCTTACAAAAAATCTTCCTAACCTACGAAATAAAACTAGACTAGATTGCAGCAGCAGGCAAATTTTAATCTAGTTGTTACCTTCTGCTGTAGACGAATGAGGCAGATGTGAGATGGGGTTTGAAACGGAGGTGAACAGTCTAACGGGCGTCTTCCTTTACTATCGCGACGAGGTGGTCTCTTGCCCCACTCTGGGTCTCTCTGTTTTCGGCACTAGTGACCACCGCCTTATAGAAAACAACGTTCTTTTTCTTGTCCCGTTTGTTTAAAACAAGTAATTTATCAAGAACTCAACTTCTGGCTTCAATCACTAATCTTTTTGTCAGGGTCATTCGACATGGTTCTTGTGAGGACCACTTTACTTTGTTGATAATCATCAAGGCAATAACTGTCTGAAACAATTGCTGTAACATCCTTCAGATGTTTTCATTTAACAAGATATCGGCTGACACTGATAACGCTACAATACGCTATCATCCACAAAGCATATTCACAGATAAAAAGAGAATAAAATAGAAAGTGAGCGTACACAAAAACACAGTGAGTACACACACACACACACACACACACACACACACACACACACACACACACACACACTCTCTCTCTCTCTCTCTCTCTCTCTCTCTCTCACACACACACACATGTATATATGTAAATATTTCAGATAAATTATATCTGTAAAAAGACAATATGAATCAAATGAAAAGGAAGATTTATCACGTTTCGTCCTATATATCAAGGCAAATGCAAGGATTTTATTTTCTATTTTCATAGCTTGTGTGACATTTCAGCTAACCTGATAAATATTGGTGAGAGTTCCTAACTCAAAAATTAAAAAACAATAACATTTTTGCTCTTGTATATAAATACAGAGGATGAAACGTGTCGGCTGAGATAAGTTTCCTTTTTTGTTTATATATATATATATATATATATATATATATATATATATATATATATATATAATATGCCCTCGTAAAAGAACGCTTCCGGTTTTAATTTGATCAATTTGTCAAGGTATTTTTCGATATCTTAACCTTGTTAGAAGCACCAAGCATATAAGAAAATTCGCAGGAAAAAAAGGCAAATATTCTTAGGTATAGACCATTAAAATGTGCTGTGTAGAAGAATTTCCCATCCTTGCTCAATGATTGTTTGGAGCGGTTACATCTGCAGAAAGAAAGACGCAGGCCTTGTCAAATTACTACTCGAGTTTCTTGCCCAGCAAACGGGTTTTCTTAACGCTTCAACACATCTTTCAAACGAGGAAATTTCTCACTGCTGAACGGGGAACAATTGTTCACCTTTCAACAATTCGTTTTAAAGAATTACATTTTTAGCCACAGAGAAAGTTCTTTCGTCAAAAGACTTAATCTTCTTTAAAGTTAACAGTCAGGATTAATACAAGCTGTTTATTCAGTTTAGCTTATCATATACTTATTATGATAGCTTATAGCTGTTATCATTTATTATATTATTATTATTATTATAACACATTAATTTAGCAGATTATTATTGCAGTATATAGCTATATTTGGGAAGTACTCTGGTGAATGGTATACAAAATGGATTTTCCAATCATTGAGCTATCGAATGCGCGTGCTACAAGTTATATAGAATAATTTACTTTGCTAAAGAAGACTTTACTATACGCCAGTTCTTATTGGGTTATTTAATGCTAAATTTTTATATGGGGCACCCACTTAAGATCGAACTCACTACTCAATAGCAAAGGTCAAGCAGTTTGACTTTGCTAACCATTCAAGTTAAATTGGTTGATTTTACTTGAAACTTTGTTGGCTTATATAATATCAAAATTTTCGTATGGGGCACCCAACGAGGATTGAACTCACTACTCAATAGCCAACCAGATTACCCCACACTAAGTTAGGCAGATTGACTTTACATGTCAATTTTTTTTGGCCTCATATCGAATTTTTGTATGGGGCGCACAGCAGTAATTGAACTCACTACGCGGTAGTAATGCTCAACCAGGCTAGCCCCGCTAACCATTAACCCACGCTGAGGTACCTTTTGCTATAGGAACAAGGTCAACGGTATTAACTACTTATAAGAATTGGTTACAATGGCATGCAGAATCATTACATTGTTCTCTTCGCGATGAAAGATTAATCGTAAAAATCAAAAGACGCATCTCTCATGTTCGATAAAATGGCGTGATTAAAAGAGGACAAGTCACGTCGTAGAATCACGTGACGAACTGAAGTGACATCGCCACGGGATTTGGCCAAAGGACCGCATATGAAAACGACCAGTATAGATTCATCTCCGCTAGTTTTCTTTGGCTGTGTTTTGATCCACCGGCGCGCCCCGGAACAGAATTACTTCAGCCAACACTGATGAAAGCGATAAGACGGTTTGAAATGAGAAAATCTTCTCCTTTGTTCAAAATCTCTTTCTCTGCCATTTTACGTCCTAGTAAAGAAAGGGCAAGCGACCAATGAAGAGAAATGAATTGCGTGTTTATCCTACTACTACTACTACTACTACTACTACTACTACTATTTCGATGACAGAAAATCACTACCAAGCCAAACAAAAGATCAAAAACAAGTCCGTTTATATTACATCTGGTACCGCGATAAATGTTTACATCTTGTCTAACTCTATCTATAAAAATGGGCTACAGATAAATTAGTACAGTAAAATTATCATAAAATGTTCATTCATTTGGTTTTAAAGTCAGTAAATATATACCTCTTCGTATGCGCTCACGCGTGCACACACACACACACACACACACATATATATACTAACAAGAAGGATTACACTACACATGTCTGACCATTCGTCCATTGCGAGACATCTACAACAACATTCCTATCCGCATTCACAATATAAAATATTACTAATCGACAACACAACTATCCTACACCATGAAAACTACAAATTCAGATTACAGATACTAGAAGCAATTTATATTAAAAAATTCAATCCGGCACTAAACAGAATCAACTAAGAACAGGAACACTTTTTTTACGCTTTAATGCGCGCATGAACATGATATGATAACATGAAAAAATTCTATAATGGATAATTTTTCACGTTCTTATGAACGCTCAGCACATTGTCAATTTAAAAGCATAATGAAAAATTACGATAATGGATAACATCGCACAACTTTGTATAAATAATTGTACTAATTAACAACATATAGTTTTGTACTATTTGCACTCCTGAAGATGATCTTGGAAAAAAATCGAAAGTACATGGGAGATGAAAATAAAAGAAATTTAAACAGCTATAGCATATTTCTCTCATGATTTAACATCAATACACGGAAGGTTATTCGTGAGTATGAACGGATTTTCTTAAAAATTAGTAGACATAATGTCTGTAATTTATTCAATCAGACATGTGTAAAGGGAAATTTGCTGCATAAACATATTAATATATATATATATATATATATATATATATATATATATATATATATATATATATATATATATATTTTGAACAATAAGAAAATAAAAAAATAAAATCTTTAGATACACTGGGTTGTAGATTAATATTCTTTCGTTTTTTTATTATTATTCCATTTAGATTCCTCGACTAGTTTCGACCGAAATGGCCATCATCGGGAGGAGAAATATTTCTGCTTGCTGGTAGCACTAAACTACAGAAATGAATGTCTTTTGCTGGAGAAAATGAACTTTTGTCTGTAGTTTTCATTTGTTTTTTTATCTTTTTAATATGAATCTTTTAACATTCCTTGTGTTGGTCAAACAGTCTCTTTTAAGTTGTTATTTGAGATAAGAGCTGGATAGATACATGTTATTCTGAATTCTCTGGTCAGTTTGACAGTTTTATTGGACCTGGTGAGGGGATGTGTCTCTGTTTAGTGTTTGTGCGTGTGTTATTTGGTTCTTAGGGAGTGAGTGAGTATGATATGTGTAAGCATGTGTATTGCTGCAGGTGTGTGTTATCATTTGGCTCATTAGGGAGTGAGTGAGTATGATGTGTGTAAGTGTATATATTCGTGTGGGTGTGTGTATAAGTGTGAGGCCTCCACACCCCCGTAAGCATGTCTGTCGTGTGGGTGAGAAATGTGGGTAGGTTTTGATTTGTTGAGTTATATATTGTTACTATCTATATATTGTTAAATTTATGATTTAGCCCGGCTGGGTATTTTGTTTTTTTTTTTTTAGACGTTGTATCCACTTATTTTCATGGGACTCTAAAATCTTTCTAATGTTATCTGCTCTGAACTTTTCTATTCTCTCAATTATAGTGAATTTGGCATGGGTTTTGAAATCATGTTTTTC